GGTTGACCTGCGGTACGGTTTGTGCCTTTTTTGTGTATGTGAGAACTGGAAGGATATTAAATACCCTCAAAAATCTACCAAGCAGGTGTATCTCTTCTGGTGCTGTGCAATTTTAGAGTACTGTACATGGTTAAAACAACAAAAAAAACACCCCAGAACTTGTTACAGAATTAGCCAATAGCAAATGTTTATTTTGTAAGAATAATAAAATTTCTGATCATTATGAAAATGTAAATGTGTGTGTGTGTTCATTTCATATATGTATAAAGACATAAACACACACAAAAAATTTCTCGCTCCTGGGGAAGATTAACACTAAATATATATTAAGGTGGTAGAGGGTATCTCCAGAGACTTGGAAGTGGTTGGATATGTTGGATTTTCCTTATATTGTTGCATTCTTACAACCTTGTAATACGTAGCTTACTTAGAGTTCACTCCCCAGTACATGTATGGTGTTATGGTTACTAAATTGTGTAGCAAATTATGTTTGCTAAAGGTAAAACTTGCATTTATTTATCTAGTATCATTTACAGAAGAAAAATACCCAAATGTAACATGAGAATAACATTGATTATACAGCAGAATCTCTTCTCAGGTTAATAAAAAGTTCAACTCAATTGTATTAATTTACTTAGGAGGAAAGGGAAGCTGTTTCATTTACACAGAAGTATATCCAGATAAATAAGCAACTGCTTCCCGCACCCTGGGTTTAGTTACCAATACAGGACAAGAGACTTTCCAGGAAAAGGTACCAACTTGCTAACAACGTTGTTGGACATTTTGGCAATGTTTGTTCTTCCTAGCCTCAAGCACCAAATCCATGTAAGCTAGAACTTCCACTACAAGTCTACTCATTAGTGTAACTGTGTGACAAAAAAAGTCCTACTGCAAGCCATTTTATTTACAAGGCATGTGAAAAAGAGCTTATTCTGAGCATACGAGGAACCGAAACCAGGAACCGGTCCCTCGCTTGCACACTTCAGTGTGGCTCAGCCTGCCTTTGACTAGAATTCCTGAAGCTTTCTTCTGGCGAAGGCTTGAAGTAAGCCCTTTGCTCCAGATAATCCAAGCCGTTGAGCAGACGTGTGTACAGTACTGTACACGAGTAGTGGTATCTAGCAAGTACTAATGTAAGAACGGCAGCTTCTCGACAATGTCATTAACCTGATTGTTAGCGGGGCTAATGAAAACATTAAACAAGCTTGCTGAAGGGTTTTTCTTCAGCATGCGGGAACCTAAAACACTGTAACCGATACAATAAATATCCATGGGAAAGACTGCAATGGCTCTGTGCAGGTCTCATGAAGTAGGCTTCATGGAGAACCCTCCCCAGGCGCCTGTAACATCGTTGGCCTTTGGAAACAAGGTAGCTACAAAACCCCAACCATGAAACATAGCATGCAGCAGGAGCAACGTTGAAGGCGTAGGAGGCAGTCCCTTGCTAATCGTCGTCATCATCACTATTAAATGGTATCAAGAATGCTACACTGTTACCCCCATGACTAAATTGGTGTTAACACAATTTCATAGTAATACCTAAAAGAGCTCTGTGTACCACTTGTTTTGGTTTTTTTTCAGGCAAGACTTCAATCTGACCAAAGTAACTTGAACAATCCCTGAGCTTCTGGACGAGGCTGTGCAACGTGTGCATTCCGTTACAGCATCTTCATTTACCAGAACAATGTATTTCCCTTTGAACTACAGGAGCTGTGCCGACTTCTTACATTTCAAAGTGCTTTTGAGCCTTTAATTCAACAGTTGATTGATTTCCTTTAAAATACTTAGCAAGGGGGAGATACTGTCACCTGTTCAGACTTGTTCAACAGCACAGCAGTTCCCGGGGTAGCATCACTTCCTTGGTGACAATTTGGCAGGAGAGGAAGAGACGCTGGAAATCCATTGCTGCATCATTGCTCGAGTAGTCTCCCTCGGGTTCAGTGGTTTTGTGTACCGATCACGTGCAGTTCTCAAGAGTGATTTCAGCTACAGCAGCAGTGTCTTTAAGGAAGAATTTTTGGTGG